CTCTGAAGTAACTGGATAAACAATCGGAAATATTTGACAGGGAACCAGGGGTGCTGCTCCTTACCAGGCTCGCCAGTGGTGGCGTAGGGCACTGGGTTCTCCTTCTCCTGGCAGGACACCTGGCGCCGGACACATCCGAGACACAGGCTGCGTGCGCGTGCGTAACGCGCCACTCAGCGCTTTCAGGTGCTCGCCTGGCTGGGGGAAGTCCCCAGCACACACCATCTGCCACGTCAGCCCTGCCATTTGCTCTTGTTTAGGGAAGCTTCCTGGTCGCCTCGGCAACCAGGAGGTGGTCCTTTGTTTCCCTGGGTATTTAATCCAGTCAGAGCCTTGGCATAGTCCTGAGTTATTCGACCTCTATGGTGTGATCGCCCAGCCCCCTGTGTGTGAACCTGTTGCTTCCTGAACCCTTGCATGAACTCCCGTTATCGACCCTTCTGCCTGCCTTCTCGCTTCTGAACCTAGCTGCCTGCCTCGACCCGGACCTGCCTACGCTTTTGGATTTCCCTCTGTACCTCGTTCTTGGACTTTTTGTCCCTGCCAAGGGGTTCCACCCACGGCCCAGCCGTACACCCGTGACAATATTACAATCATTGTTTTTAATATTTTGTTAAAAGTTATTTGCAGTCAATGTCTTCCTTAAATATGGAACCCATAAAAATCATCACATGCTGGATTTCCATCCTAGAAATGCTCGTGAAGGCCTTCACCGCTGCTGTCTTCAATTGCTGCTTGTTCAATTATCTTTCGACCCTGTTCACACCTTTACGTTTTGTCGTACGTTCAACGCTCTATGAACGCTCTACAAAACGTACAAACATGAAAATCCCATTGTTTTTTATGGGTATGGTTCACACCTTTCCGTATTTCTGCCCGTCTGAACGCGCTACAAAACGGCCTATGCCCAAAGAAGTACATGTACTTCTTTGGGGCGTTTTGGTCGCGCGTTTCTATTGGGATACAGCCAAGTAGCCCTATAGCGAATGGCTGTAAAAACGCGCAACACGAAACGTGCGACAAACGCGCATATTCAATACGCCTAGGTGTGAACCCAGCCTTCTACTTTCGGTTTTATCCTCATCAAGTGAAATGTACGTCCGGTTGTGTTGAGGTCAGGTGACTGACTCAACCACTGAAGAATATTCCATTTCATATTGCTCCTTGGGTTGCTTTCACAGTATATTTTGGATCATTGTCCATCTGTACTGTGAAGCCTTGTCCTATCAGTTTTGCAGCATTTGGCTGAATCAAACCAAATAGTATAAACAGTTCAGAGTTCATCCTGCCGCATCTGTCCGCAGTCATATCATCAATAAACACTAGTGACCCAGTTCCATCAGGAGCCATGCATGCCCATGTCACAACACTGCCTCCAACTTGTTTCACACATGATGTGGCATGCTTTGGATCGTTTCTTCTCTCCTCTTTGTTCTTTACTTCTCATTGTTCTGATACATCTTGATGTAAGTTTTGGCAGTTCAAAGAAGATTGTTCCAGAACTGAGCAGATGTTTTTAGATGTTTTATGGCAAAGTCTAATCAGGCCTTCCTGTTCTCACTAGTGGTTTGCACCTTGTAAAAACTCTCTGAATTTACTTTCATGAGGTCTTCTCTCGATTGAAGACTTTGGCAAAGAGAAAAGGGAAACAAACCTCCTGGAGAATGTTTCCCCGTGGAAATAATTATGTGAGCACCCAACACAGTTGCCGTCCAAGGTTGTCCATACTCTTCAGCAGTGTGTTCCTTCTTTTCAGAAAGTACCAAATTGTTGATTTGTTCACTCCATTTTCTTTCTACACGAGGGTGCTGTGGCCCTCCTCCGCAGAGGAAGGGCCTCAAATCCTTGAACTCCCGAGGGTGCAAGGCTCCTGACAGGGGCAAGGTATCCAAGTCCACTTGGGCTGAAGCCAGGCAGATCCTGATCCTTGGTGATTAGGTAAAGCCGGTCCACCGAGTACTTGATGAGGGCTCTCCCGAAGAAAGATCCCCATGGGGACAGGCAAAAGACCTGAAGGCCAAAGTGCCTCCACTGAGACATTCAGGCAGGCCCTGAAGGTACCTACACCCTTAGTCAACTGTGGGGCAAAGTGCTATTGTTAAATAAAGTAAATAAGTGCCAAGTGTAGTACAAGGCAGGCCTTCCAGCCAAGATAAAAAATTGCACTGAGCTAGCCAAAAGGCCTGCCCAAGAAGTGCGTTACAGAAAAAAAGCTTACCTAGTGCCAATGTAACACAGTGGGGTCCCAAACCCATAGTGATTATCTGGCATCGCTGGGACAACACACCCAGGGAGCACAGCCCCGGGGGCTCTCTGCCTTTCCAGCCCATGGCCAGACCAGGTAGACCCATTCAAATTAGGAGGCACTGGGACCCACTGGGCCTTCTATAGCTGGATGGTCAATTCAGATTTGGTCACTCCTAATATTTTCTCTCCTCTCTTTGAAGGATAAATTGTGTTGTCTGTACCTAATAACGGCCTACTTTATGTGCATCAGACGACATAATGAGAGTTCTCAGCTTCCAAATGCAAATTCCACACTTGGAATCAACTTCAGACATTTTACCAGCTTCATTGTTATAAATGAAATGATGAGGGAACTGCCTACCCATGGCCACGAAACAGCTTGTCACTCAACTGTCATATTACCCTTGAAAAGGTAGGGAGTGGGACTATATAGAAAAAGGACTCTTAGACCCCATTCACACTGAGCGATTTCAGCGCCAAAATCGCTCAAACATCAGCTCAATGTAGCTTGTCCAATGCATTTCAATGGAGCTGTTGACATCTCATCGCTCAATGTCGCCTGTAGCTTGTAGCTCAAGCGTGTCGCTTGAACATGACCTATTTTTCGGGGGATTTTGTGCGATTTGGCCCCAATAGACTTCAATGGTGTAGCTCAATGTCGCAGGTGGGGCCAGTGATGTAAGAGGAGGCGGGGCCCGTCGATTTTGAGCGACATTGTCGCGCTACAGAAGTGTCACTTTTGCACAGAAATATAAGCAAGAACATAAGCAGGAAACAGGAAGAGGAATTATGTCACATCAAGACCGCTTTTGATTGGATACAGCCCAATGCAACAGCTACGAAGTCCATGCCAAAAGTAGCGCTACGTAGCGCGACAATATGTGCACTGTAGCTCAAAGTCGCTCAGATCAAATCAGCGCTGAAAAAGTGAATGGGGTCTTATCCGCAAACCATTCACTGCATTAGGATGTAAATAACCTCATGTAACCAGTTTCCACCGGCGTCACGGATACATGTGGAGTTCCGGAAGTGGGATTTCTTCTCTGGCACTCCATATATGTGGCATACGCTTGATCCTGCACCCCCAGCACTGAGACCAAACTGTCACTGACAGCTCCTAGTCTCAGACTAATGATTGGGGGTCAGGAGGATCTGATCCCAATCGTGATCACTGGTGGCAGCGGTCACTGTGAATAGAAGCCACACCTGTACTTCCCCCCTCTGATACATTGTATCATTTTCTCCAGAAGAGAAGTCTTTGAAAAAGAGTCTGTTGAAAAAAAAACAATGAATAAAGATAAAACTGCTAGATCAAGGCGTCATCTAGGTTAGTGTGATGCTGGACATCCATGTCCAAAAACAAAAGGCAATTATTCTATTGACTTTTGTGGAAGGAACTGGTCTGAAACATCTTGGCCAGTGACTGCAACCAATCAGCTGTTCAGGTGTTCTGTCAGAATACAATAACCCGGCGGGAGGGAGTCCCCTATCCATGATGCTGGCATAAACGGAGGAACCGAGAGTTTCACAAGAGTGTTGAAAAGTAGGAGTTAACGTATGGTGGGGTAGTACTTAGAGGAAGTATGGTGGGGCAGTACTGAGAGGAAGTATGGTGGGGTAGTAGTGGTGTAGGGTAGTATTAAGAGGAAGTACGGTGGGGTAGTAGTGGTGTAGGGCAGTACTGAGAGGAAGTATGGTGGGGTAGTAGTGGTGTAGGGTAGTATTGAGAGGAAGTATGGTGGGGTAGTAGTGGTTTAGAGTATTATTGATAGGAAGTATGGTTGGGTAGTAGTTGTGTAGGGTAGTATTGGGGTAGTAGTTGTGTAGGGTAGTATTGATGTGAAGTATGGTGGGATAGTGGTGGTGTAGGATAGTATTCAGGTGAAGTACGGTGGGGTAGTAGTTGTGTAGGGTAGTACTGAGTTGAAGTACGGTGGGGTAGTGGTGGTGTAGGTAGTATTAATGTGAAGTATGGTGAGGTAGTAGTTGTGTGGGGTGGTATTGAGGTGAAGTATAGTGGGGTAGTAGTTGAGTAGGGTAGTACAGAGGTGAAGCACGGTGGGGTAGTAGTTGTGTAAGGTAGTATTGAGGTGAAGTACGGTGGGGTAGTAGTTGTGTAGGGTAGTGCTGAGTTGAAGTACGGTGGGGTAGCAGTGGTGTAGGTAGGATTGATGTGAAGTATGCTGGGGTAGTAGTAGTATGGGGTAGTACAGAGGTGAACCGGAGGTGTAGGGTAGTAGTAGTATGGGGTAGTACAGAAGTGAACCGGAGGTGCAGGGTAGTAGTAGTATGGGGTAGTACAGAGGTGAACCGGAGGTGTGGGATAGTAGTAGTATGGGGTAGTATGAAGGTAAACATATTATGGTGTAATAGAGAATAGCAGTAGTAGCAGTGGTGGTGATATTTAGTACTGTGGTGTGAAGTAGCATTGAAGTGAAGTATTGTAGGGTAGTAGTAGTAGTATGGGGTAGTACAGAGGTGAAGTATTGTAGGGTAGTAGTTGTATAGGGTAGTATAGAGGTGAAATGGAGGTGTGGGGTAGTAGTACTATGGGGTAGTATGAAGGTAAAGTCTTCTGGGGTAATAGAGAATAGTACTGGTGGTGATATGAAGTACTGTGGAGTGAAGTATTGAGGGGGTTGAAGTATCGTGGTGAAGTACTGTGGAGTACTAGTGAGGGGTATTATTGGGGTGAAGATCTGTGGGGGTGTTAGTAGTGTAGGGTAGACAGTGGGCGGAGTCAGAGTGCGGGCGGCGGTGAGCAGTCAGGCAAGAGTTAACTCTCTCCCGGGTGCCGGGAAGGGGGCGGGGCCTGTGGCGGAGCTCGGGATCTCCGGCCGGTGTCTGTCTCTCTCTGTGTTCGGATCGGATGTCTTTGGTGGGAGGCGGAGGAATATCGGGCGGTAGTCTGTCGGTAGTCTCTCGGTTGTCATGGTAACAGAGGGGGTCTGCAGGCCGGAGACAGGAGGAGGCTGCTGCTGAACACAGCGAGGGGATTCCAGGATCGGCCAGCATGGAGGACGGCTTCTCCAGTCTGTATGACACCACCTCCCTCTTCCAGTTCTGTAATGGTGAGTGTATACGGGGCACAGGGGGGTGTGCTGCCCGCCGGGCACTTTGACTGGACGGACGGGGCTCCGCAGACTTCCCGGGGGCATCAGCCTGGCACCCTGTGGGCACAGAGCATGCTGGGGGGAGCCTTAGTCTGGGACCCTCCTGGCACCCAGATACGTTGTCACACATGGCAGGGGCACATCATTGTATTAGCACCTGACTCTAAGGAGTTGGGCAGAGGAGGCTTCACAGACATGCCAGAGGCATTTCACCCCCTGGGCAGTGCTTAGGTCTATAGGACTGGCACCCTCTCACACAGTGGCAGACATTGCCTCACAGGGTATCAGTCTTACCCACCTGGCACCCACTAACGATACAACCCACTCCAATATATAACCTGAAAAGGCTTGCTAGGCATGCCAGGGGCATCAGCATTTCACCCCTGGGGCACTGCGTAGGTCTGTGAGACTGGCACCCAATGGCAGTGTGACACACCCTTATATATAACCAAACAAGGCTTCGCAGGCAAGCCTTAATCTGTAACCCTCCTGGCACCCATTTACGTTGTCACTCATTGCTTAACCCACATGACTGGGGCACATCATTGTTTTGACACCTGACTCCAAGTAGATGGGCAGAGGAGGCTTTGCAGACATGCCAGGGGCATTGGCATTTCACCCCCTAGGGCACTGCCTAGGTCTCTTGGACCAGCACCCACTTACAGTACAGCCCACCCTTATATATGATCCCAAAGGGCTTGGCAGACATGCCAGGGGCATTAACATCTCACCCGCTGGGTACTGTGTAGGTCTATGAGATTGGCATCCTCTGGCATTGTAGCATACCCTTATATATGATCCCAAAGGGCTTGGCAGACATGCCAGGGGCATTAACATCTCACCCGCTGGGTACTGTGTAGGTCTATGAGATTGGCATCCTCTGGCATTGTAGCATACCCTTTTATATGATCCCAAAGGGCTTGGCAGACATGCCAGGGGCTTTAACATGTCACACGCTGGGTTCTGTGTAGGTCTATGAGATTGGCATCCTCTGGCATTGTAGCATACCCTTATATATAATCCTAAAAAGCTTGGCAGACATGCCAGGGGCATTAACATGTCGCCCCCTGGGCATTGCTTTGGTGTATAAGACTGGTACCTTCTGGCAGTGTAGCCCACCATTCTGATATATAGGTAGAAAATACTCTGTTGGCATGGCAGGGTGTATTATGCATTGCCAGCATGCCATTTGGTGGGCTCCAGAAGCCCGGCACCATCCAGCGTAGTCCCACGTACCTTGGCAGGCATTGCCGCATAGACGCGCCGGGAGGCACGAGCATGCTATCCGCCTACCTGGCACAATGAAGTGCACGGGAGACCAGCACCTTCTGGCATCCGACTGCTCACCAATAGAAGGTCAGCTTGTGCTTTGTAGACACAACACTTGGCAACGAGTACGGCGCATCAGACTGGCACCGCTGCCGTTCATTCTCCTGCCGGCCTTCCAATACTCGGCTTAGTTACATAGTTACATAGTATTTGAGGTTGAATAAAGACATTAGTCCATCAAGTCCAACCTATTAGGATCTCATTCTAGGAGTACCTGTACCCCTGTATATTACCTGTACCCCTGTATATTACGGTCCCTTAAGAAATCGTCCAAAAGTTTCTTGAACAATTCCACATTATTTGCTGAAATCACCGCCTGTGGCAGTGAGTTCCAGACCCTAACTGATCTTACTGTGAAGAACCCCCTTCGCCCCTTGTGCTGGAATTTTTTTTCCATCAATTTTAGGTGGTGGCCTCTAGTTTTTGTAACAGAGTTAATTTTAAACAGTTTATCGCTAATGTTGCACCATTAAACATTTTGTACATGGAAATCATATCCCCCCTTAATCTCCTCACCTCTAATGTGAACATACACATAATGTGCCCGCAGGGAGTAGAACCCTCCGAGCCCGTCTTCATGCACACAATACCCCGGCTTTGCTGAGTATTGTATCACCCGCAAGTTTGTGAACCCCTCCCCCATCCTCATCTGGTTGTGGTAGGGGTTTCCCTTCCAGGGATTTGGCCGGGATCTGCTTTGGGTCATCAAAGCTCACCGGCCCCCTTTTTAGTTTTAACGGCGCACATGCTCTTAATGCGTTTTGATGAACTGCGCCATTCCAGATCTGTGATTGGAGCCATGTGCGGAGGTGTCACCGGTCTATGGCACATGGTGATTACAGGAACAATGCCATGGGGGCCTCAGCCCTTTACATGTGAATGTTGATGATGTGTCACCTCTGTGTTTGTAAACCCCGAATGTTCATGTTTGTAAATCTCAATGAATGCGTCACGCATCGTAAACCACTGACTTCATTCCTAAATTACTTCGTCATGCTGTACTATAAAGGCAACAGGCACTGCAGCAGCTGTTGTGGAACTACAAGTGCCATCATGCCTGTGCCTGCCAGAGTCTTGTAGACCTACTAATGCCATCATGCCTCTGTGAGTCATGCTTGTGGCTAACAGGAGGCATTGCAAGATTCCGACAGCCATAGCCATGACTCCCAGAGGCATGATGGCATCAGTAGTTCTACAAGACTCCAACAGCCACAGGCATGACCCCCAGATTCTTGCAGAACTACGAGTGCCATCATGCCTCTGGAAGTCATGCTTGAAGTCCCAGGAGGAATTGCAAGATTTCGACAGCCGCAGGCATGACCCCCCAGAGGCATGATAGCATTTCTAGAACTACAAGATTCGACATCCACAGGCGTGACTCCCAGAGTCTTGCAGAACTACGAATGCCATCATGCCTCTGGGAGTCATGCTTGTGGCTGCCAAGAGTCTCGTGGAACTACAAGTCCCATGAGCCATTGCAAGATTCTGACAGCCTCAGGCATGACTCCCAGAGGCATGATGGCATTTGTAGTTCTGCAAGACTCTGGGAGTCATGTGTGTGGCTGATGGGAGTCTTGTAGAACTACAGATACCATCATGCTTGTGGTCAGAGTCTCTTGAAACTACAACTCCCATGAGACATTGCAAGATTCTGACAGCCGCAGGCATGACTCCCAGAACCGTGATGGCAGTTGTAGTTCTACAAGACTCTTGACAGCCTCAGGCATGACTCCCAGGTGAATGCATGGAACTTGTAGTTCCACAACAGCCCAGAGTACCAAGGTCGCCCTGATTTAATACCCGCTGCTTTATTACATCTCAGTGCTGTTAATCTCCTGCAGCCTGTTTGGGGCAACTTTCTGACTATATGCCCCACTTCCATGGCTGCATGGCATTTCTCAGGGTGGGCTTGCTGATGGTGACAGCAGTGGACCATGTCTGTGTAATGTGTGTTGACACGGCCACTTGTAGCCTCCATTGGACGCCCATATGAAAAGGTGACAACACAGAAGCCCAATTGAGAGGCGGGGACAGAGAGTTGTCACTCTGTAGCAGGAAGGACCTGCCCAAGGATTACAAGGTTTTATTTTTATGACCTTAACATGTTAAAGCTTATACGAGATCTTAGTGGTTGGGTGTATATATGTTTTAATTGTTTAAAGTTGAAACTCCTGGCACAGCTGATATTTAAATATATTCATCAGTGACCACACAGTATATGCATTCACCTTGGGTGCACCAAATGCCTTTGCAAAGCCAGATATCATCCCTGTGCTGTACATAGCCTGTTCAGAGAGCGGAGCTGTGGGAGGGACCCTGTAGACCCCACCCACTACAGGCTGCCTGCAGAAAACTACAGCAGTGGGTGAAGACGAGATCAGTCACCCTGCACAAGGAGAGAGAGCAGCAGTGGGCGGTCTTTATTACAGGAGGGGGCGGAGACTAGACCAGTCAACCTGCACAAAGAGAGAGAGCAGCAGTGAGCGGTCTTTATTACAGGAGGGGGCGGAGACTAGACCAGCCAACCTGCATAAAGAGAGAGAGCAGCAATGACTGGTCTTTATTACAGGAGGGGGCAGAGACAAGACCAGTCACCCTGCACAAGGAGAGAGAGCAGCAGTGACCAGTCTTTATTACAGGAGGGGGCGGAGACAAGACCAGTCATACTGCACACGGAGAGAGAGCTACAGTGACCGGTCTTTATTACATAACGGGGCAGAGACAAGACCAGTCACCCATGATACACATGACTCTCTAGACAATATTCATTCTATCTGGAGTTCAGCTTTAAAAGCGACGGGCGTCTTCTCCAGTGCGGTCCGGCTACAAGTCTCCGTGCGGCACGCCGGCCTTTTGCAGTTGCACCAGAACTGCAGAGCGGAGCCGTGCCAAGAATTCCATTAGCCGGCGGTGTCTGCGAGGAAATGGAAGTATTTGTTGGCACAATAGGCCGTTCTGATGTCTTGGCATCAATACCAGTAGCGTTTAATAATTAAAATTTCTGTCGAATGATCAGCTGTGTATTGGAACCGGGAATCCGCTTTCGCTGCGTGCCAGAGATTCACACGCGGTCACGGCTCATCGCAGGAGGATTGTGCCAACGCCTTGCCGCCATGCAGACCGCCCGTATGGATTATTGCCGCTGTTCTGGCGTGACACATCGGGAGAGTTAATCCCTTTAATGTGATACACGGAGGAGTTGGAGTGCTCCCTGTGTTTGCACGGCGTGTCAGTTTGCTTCTGAATTAAGTGCGCTGCTAATGATGGAACTGCACACGCGTGTGGATACCTTTTGACAGCTGCTTCCCAAAACGCGTTCATGTCAAAATGTTTTTGCTGGAAATATTTCTCTAATTTTGTTTTTTGTTTTTTGTAGTTCCCATCAAAGGGTCACGTCAGATGTCACCAGGAGGGATGAACGACATTTGAACCCGATCCCGTAAGGCAGCGGTTCTCAACCTGTGGGTCGTGACCCAAAAGTGGGTCGCAACTCACTGTTGAGGGGGTCGCAGCATCCAATTCTGCAGCGCCAGGTGAGAGGTTCCTCAGCCTCCTCCTAACGCAGCAGTGTCAGTTAGCAGGAGGACAGCAGAGGCTGTGAATATAAAAGTGCCGCCATGGCTCCCTGG